AAGAAGAAGAAGAAGAAGAAGAACAGCTTCTCTTCCCGAAGATTTGGAAGCCACCCGGAGAAAAGCGGTACGTGAACCAACTGTTACTTAGCGAACTTCCAACGCAAATAGCAAAAGATGACCACTCCAACGCTTCAATCCACCTCCGACTTCGACATGAACGCATTGGTTGTCAGGAAGACAGTGGCAGGCATAGACCAAGAGATCAGGGTCGCAACCACGCTAGTCTTCGATATGAATTCAAACAGGAAAAGGACTGGATACATTTCTGAAAAGGTCCAAAGCTGCTTCGTCCGCGATCTACCTCACCCTCCGGACTTAGGAGACCAAGATCAGTACAAAAGATGGCACGTCGCCGAAAACAATGCTAGGTAAAGCGAGACGGGCGATTACAACAACTCAGCGAGCCCCGAAGCGCAAGAAATGCCGGGATGATAAAAGCCCAAGAGAAAGAGGACTTTTGCCTCTAGAACATTTAGAGATGTATCATGTCGCCAGCAGCTCAGCTTAGCGACCAAAGGACAAGCTTCCAGAAATTTACGATCAACAGACCAGACGCTCCAAAGAAAACACATTGAGCTCCCTACCCATCTCAACTCGTCCCGGGTTGGCTGTAGCCCGAAGATGTCACACGGATACAGATCCGAAGTTCGCCTGCTGCTCATTTGTCGCGCCGAGCAGTCATGACTCGCTCATGCTATATGCCACACAGCAATCACCAAGCCGCGAGATGGCTTTACGAGCACTACTCTAAAAAAAAGCATCCGGGTACCGAATCAGGTGTAAAATTAGAATAGCAATCGCTATCGCTCCCTTTTTAGCCTCGGATAACAAACGGTGGCATCGCCTCGGCTTTGGCACCGCGGACAGTTCGCGCCTCCCGCTTTCGTCGGTCCATACCTACTAGCCATTACCCTGTACGAAAAATTAAAGCTTGTTCTCGTCATGTGGGAAGTAGTGGGAAAGTGGGGGGAGGGGCGGTGTTTATCATCGTCGCGTGCTTTGTGAAATTTATATATATATATTGTGGAGGGAAGAGCTCCAGCATATACCTTGACTGCGAATCAAGAGATATATAGATATATAGTCATAGTAGAATCGGGGGGTGAAAAGGAGGGGGAAAGGAGGACGTTCGTGTGATACTCGAATGTATGCTGTATGTATACGTATTGTAGACGATGATGATGTCCAGGGAGGAACAGGCCCTCGTCTATATATAGGCCACACGCGTGACGTGACGTAGCCACGTGACAGAGGCGCCTGGTCGAATACTAGATACAGGGACAAAACAAATACAGAGCACGATCTCCACCACAGTATTCTCTTGATACTTAAACTGGTCATTTTCTATCGGAAAGGAGGCTTCGAGGATGTGTCTCTGACACGTGACGTTCAGAATCCAGGGTTGGAAAGATCTAAGCGAATGAGGAGCCGAACACATAAGAAAGGAAACGGTGAACCGACTTGTGCATTCGTTACAATCCTGTTTCTTTTTCGCTTGTAAACTGTGCTCGGTTATGGAAGAGGGAGGCGTTGCTGATATATATATATATATGAATTAAATAGCAATGTCGTCTACCACGGTCAGCTGGGAGCTCTTCGGCCGCTTAACCATCCATGGTTTAGAAAAGTTCAAGATTTTTACCCTCGTTGTGTTGTGCTTATCTGGTATTTAGATCGTATATCGCCATGCTGCTGCAACTATATACCCATCCATTTCTCTCTTTGATTTTTTTTTATTTTTTTTTATTTTAGATGTGTAGCGCGCAAGGTCCACCCGAGTCGAATCTACTCTATCCGGTTCTCGAGACCCAGGCACAGATGCAAACAAAAACAAAGAGAATTTTTTTTCTTTTGGCCGTTTTCAGCATACGACAACATGCCTGAGACTTTTGACAGAAAGAGAAAGGGTGTGTACGTGTGAGTGAGTCGGAATGTAAGAGAAAGGGAACTCAGCACAAAGGAAAACTTGGGGGGAAGTCGATTGGCTGCTGAGCCGGCTGCTTTGTAGTTAAGTGGGTTTCGAGGCCCAGCCCTAGCGCCGCATGTTTTCCTGGATCTAAGCGAGACGACAAACAAAGAAGGAAAGAGAGAGAGAGAGAAAGAAACTCGGAGATCTCGGAGAGGGTATGAGATGATGAATGAGAGACATTATGGAGAATGGAGGAGGCGGTCTAAGAAAGGGGAATTGGGAATCTCGAGAATAGAGAGGCGACTTTGGTTGAGCTTCGTGTTTGGTATGTTGTGGTAGTGCGTGTTGGTGCCTTTTGACTCGATTCTTGATTTAGGAGAGGGGCTCGAGGGGGAGATATAGATCTTTTTATTTCTGATCTGTGTTATATATACTAGAACGCTACTCGCTGCTTCTTTACGGGGAAAGGGTATACTGTTGGCATTGTTCCAGTTTGCTCAGTCGATACAGTCGATCCAAACACACATACCGGTACATACACACATACACACAAACCCACCACACCTCTCTGACAAAAACCAAGAAATAAGAACCAAGAAACAAAAAAAATGCCTCGACACAATCCCATTCCCGATCCCCTCCCGCCTCCCACGCCCACCCTAATAACAACAAGCACAACAGCAACCGCGAAAATGAAATCAAGCTTCAGCAGCTTCAAGCACCCCCGCTTCCGCCGCACCGACCTCTGCCTTACAGAGTGGGTCGAGCTGTACCGGCCCGGCGGCTACCACCCGGTCGTTGTCGGCGACGAGTTCCAGGAGGGCCGGTATCGCGTCATAAGGAAGCTCGGGGCAGGGCGGAGGAGCACGGTCTGGATGGCGGTTTGCGGTGCGGGCCGGTACGTATATAGACGTGTACTACGTATATGCGATGGGGGGTGTCTTGATGGGTTTGGTTTCGGATACTGTACTTGCCGATGATTTCCTTCGTCAATTTCGCGTCTGCTTCTGCGTCTCCATCTTTGTCGTTGTTTTCTTTTCTCCTTTTGTTTTTCTTTGTTTTTCTGCCCCAGAAGGGAGATGAGGAGACAGGATAGGGCAAGGGCAAGGGCAAGGACGAGTCTGATCTGACATTCCCAACACAGCATCGGAGGCGCACCCGCTCACCAGAGCCGCGAGCCTCACCCCTACGTGGCCCTCAAATGCCTAGCCAGCAGCGCCGCGCACGCCCCCGAGCTCGAGATGCTGACGGCCCTCGCGTCTCCAAGCCCGCACGGAAGCGCGGACGGGCAGCGATACATGCTCCCCCTCCTCGAAAGCTTCACCTCGGCCTCCCCCAACGGCACGCACACCATCCTCGTGCTGCCCCTCCTCGCGGCCGACGCCACGACCCTCCCGCCGCAGCTCCCGTGCTACCGCGCGCAGACGTACGACGAGATGCGGCGCGGGGTCAACCGCGCGCGCTTCGGGACGGGGCGGGCGAAGAGGGTGCTGAAGCAGGTGTTGGGCGGCCTGGCGTTCTTGCATGCCCGCGGCGTGGTGCATGCCGGGCTGCGCATGCGGGCTGTGGGCTTCCTGGCGGGGGAGAGGCTGGCGGGGGTTGAGGAGAGGAGGGTGACGCAGAGGAGGGCCCGGACGGAGAGAGTGAGGAGGGTGGATGGGAGGAAGGTGGATCGGAATGCGCCACGGTATGTGGCTGCGGCCATGGGGATGGAGGCGTTTGCTGATGTCGATGTTGAGAGGGGGATCAGGATTGGGGATCTGGGCAGCGGTATGTTATTTTTTTGCTGTTGCTGTTGCTGTTGCGGTTGGTGTTGTTGGTGCGGTTGTTGTTTCTTTGAGCCGGCCTGAGTCCTGCTTCGTGGGATGCGAGAGTGGCACGAGTGATGTAGTGGGTTGCAAAATGCTGATGTCTGTGTTCATCTCTGTGCGCGTAGCTTTCTACGCCAGTTCTCCACCAGAGATATTGGCGACGAAACCCGAGTCGCACCATTTCCGCGCCCCGGAAGTCATCTTGCCGCTCGGTAGCAGCAGCAGCAGCAGCACGCCTTTGACGCCTGCGCTCGACATCTGGGCCTTCGGATGCCTCATATACGAGCTGCTGACGGGACTGCCGCTCTTTCCGGTCGCGGACTTCACCGAGCAGGAAGATGTCGACGTCGAGCACCTCATCGCGCTGAACGACACCATCGCCCCGCTGCCCGCGAGATGGGACGCTCTGCTCTTTCCCCTGACCGCGGAGGCGAGGGAGAGCGCGCCGTACAAGAAGCGGCAGCGGGTGATGCAGAGGGATGGCGAGGGCGGCTGGATCCAGACGGGCGTGTCCGCGATTGGGAAGTTGAGGATGGAGCGTCGGGACACGCTCAAGGCGCTGTGGAAGAGAGAGAGGCCGGTGGACGTGGATGCCAAGGAGGCGGCGGAGATCTTCAAGGTGTTAAGGGGGGTGTTGCGGTTTGATGCGAAGAAGAGGCCGACGGCGGGCGAGTTACTGGAGGAGCAGTGGTTCAAGGACATTGTGGTGTAGTAGGTAGTTTGTACGCGGCGCCTGTGGGGGTTTGTGAGATGCGAAAGTAGAGATCGATACCCTAGGAGCAAGTTAAGTGAGTATCTTCTTAGCGGACATCTCTCGTGCCTCCGATATGATGTCGTGCTCGTATGCATCCAAATTTCTCATGTTCAAGACGTCAGCGACCGGTGCGAAATAAAATACCCCCTCTTCCTCAGCGTCAGAAGGTAAACAAACCCTCGCTTAAGTATTGCTCTTCGAGCAGATCGCCCTCACTCGGCCGCCAGGCAGGTACAGAATAAAACGCCGGCTGACGAGCCGGCGAATCGACAACCAGTCGTACTCGCGAGGTCAAACGCCTTGCTCGGAGGAGCGATTATTCGCGCTGGTGTACGTAGTGCTCGCTGATCCCGTGTACCGAGATGCGGCATATCGAGAATCAAAAACCAGATACCCGAACGCACACCTCACCATCATCTCGTCTGCGTCACCCCCCCTCTTTTTTTTTCTGAATCGTCCCGCTCGAGAGGTACGCGGCCACAGAAATCCGACCCAGACCAGCAGCAGCAGGAGTATATATACACACGTATCTATATATATATATATACATCCCCGCCCCTCCAGCCCACCGGTGCAGATCCCGATCTGCGCAAAAGGAAAAAAAAAGNGGAAAAAAGAAAAGAAGAAGANAG